TAATTTTTACAACATTGAAAGCAATACCTGCTGAAAGTCAAGGGAACAATCTCCTTTATCTGATTTGTTCTGATGAGACCCATATTGTAGGTTATTCTAATGTGTGGCTTTATACACATTTCAGGCTAACAAAGTAAAGCATGATTAGCAATTCCTAACCTTTTCCAGTATTTCACATCACATTTGCATATATACAATCTGCCAGGCTCTGAGATTTTTTGGCTGGAAGGCATTATGGTGGGATGAGAGAGGATAAATACATTTGCCTTACTTTTAAACTATTTTTTGTCCATACTCATTCTCTAGCTACATTGTATAAAAATATAGCACATATATAAATGATCTCTTCCACCCTGCTTGGTGGAAAATTAATGGTAGTGAATGGAAAATTAAATGTAGTGAACAGGTATTTCAACACTCTGCTATACTTCTGCATTGCATTACGTCTTTAGAAGTTATCTGTAGAAATGTAAATGTTATACAGTCAATTGAAGCAAAAGAGAGGAAAAGAAGTAACATTTACTGAACATATACTGTCTCTTGGTGGATCTTTTTAATTACAACATCCTTATGAAGTAGATATTATGTGCATCTTGTGAATGAAGAAACTCAGGCTCAAAATGTCAAATAACTTACCCAAGTTCAAGTAACTACACCAGTAAGTGACAGAGTTGGGGTTTAAACGTGGTACTGGCCAGCTTTAGAACACTTTTTTTCCCACTTGTTTCTTAAAATTAAATATGTTTTCTTGTTTAACAGATACTATTCCTTAAACTTGGGGAAAAATAGGAAGTAAAATATTGAGTAAGACTGATAATCTATGTAACCTAATCTCTGATAAAACCAAGTGTCATTTTCCAAATGGGAAACTTAACTGCAGAAGTAACTTTATGCACATTTCTAATAGATATCATTTGAATCCTTGTTTTGATTAAGTGATAGAAAATTTTCATTTAAATAAAGATGCTTTTTTGGTAGGAAAAGCTCTTTGTAAAGCTTTACTGGTATATAGGATAACATTGGCTCACTGCTTTAAAATTGTTCAATATTTTAAATTTTTGCTAAACTCAGGATGTAGATATTTTTACAAAAAGTGGAGCATAAAATACCCTTCAGATTATGTTTCACTCAATTTTTTTCTTAGGTTGCTTTGTTAGTATATACTATACTATTAGCTGGGTGAGTAGTTGAGAAAAAAAAAGTTTATTGTAAAATTTGATATGACATGAAGCTAAAAATAATGAAGAGGCTGATTGACAGATTTGGAATCTGATCTATAGAGACTAGCAATGGATCACAGCTGGAAAGAGATGAATGAAAATTTTTAAATAAAGTTTTATTCATGAAACGAAGAGTAACAACAGGTATGGATAGAGGGTGCAGGGTGTGGTTGCAGTGCAAGTAAAGAAGACAAGGATTCAATCAGAAAACTTGATATGTCAGCATTGTGTTGAGGGCATTCCAAAAATAATGCATATGTGAACTGTATTAACATAAGTTTATTTTCTAGGTCAAAGCAGGTAATATGCCCTTTACTCTGCCTTGGTTGTATGAGGGTTGAAATGTTAATTACATATAATTCCATATACCACCCTTTAAGATAAATTGGAGCATGCTCAGAAAAGAAGATGGTGATGAGTCTTAGCTGTCTTAAAGAAATGTTTGAAGGAACTTGTTATCTAGAAAAGACAAGACTCAGAGTGGATTAGAGTCATAGATGTAGATTTATGACTCGAATCAAAGTCACAGACTTCCTGTGACTTTGCAGATAGAGTACAGGCAAGTTAGGCATCATTTATTAGTAATCCTCTTAAAGAGAATTCACAGCTGAGAAAAGTTGCTATATAATGAAAAATTTCATGTAGCAGGCAGTACTTTTTCAGAGATAGTATAGTGCGTAGTGAGGTAGTACACACTTGTCCTGGAAGTATTTAAGCATAAGTGTAAGAACAAAGTAGAAAGAATTTAAACATGTGATGTATAATAGGAACAGAAGACTTTTGAGATGTCATACCAATTCAAAGATTTTTTTTTAATTCCAAGATTAAAAGGACTTCACAGAGTATTATTTTATCCTCATGAGGCTACCTCACCTTAGTAATAGTAATGTGCATCGATACAGCTCTTTACCATTTATAAAGTTCTTTCTTCTGAATTATCTCGTTTTGGAGACTGGTAATACTCCTTTGGGTAGACAGGACAAGTATCCTCATTTTGAACAGGTAAAGAAATAGGCTAGCTAAGAGAAAGTCTGAATTGCCTCAAATCATAAAGCTTATAAGCAGCAGCCTAGGGCTCTACCCTTGGTCTACAAATTCCGAGTTTAGTGCCGTTTCTCCTGTACCACTTTTCTTTAAAAGTAAGTCATAAGTTGTGATACTTGTTTTGCATACATTAAAAATTGCAAGGAACAGATGGTTCTTAAATTTTATTCCTAAGGAAAATGTACATGTAGCTCAAGTTAGACTGAGGGTTCTAAATGCCAAGCAATGGGGAGTCATGGGGGCAAGTCTGTGTTACAGAAAGATAACCGTTTAATGAAAAAATCTGGTTTGGGCTGCTAGATGAATGGTGGTGCCTTTCATTAAGATGGCAAATATAGGAGAGGGAGCAGGTTGGTAGGTAATTGAGCAGGTGAGGTAATTGAATTTTGGACGTAAGAAAAATAGCTGACATTGGTTGTTTACTAAGTGCCAGACACTATGCTTAGGGTTTTGTATCATTTAACTCATTTAGTCTTTACTACAACCCTCTGAAGATAAACCTTTTCAATCTTCATTTTCCGTATGAAGAAACTGAAAAGCTTAGATTGTTTAAAGAACTTATCCAAGGCTTCATAGGGCAAGAATAGGAATTTGAATCTCTATGTCTGACAACAGAGCCACAGTTGTTAGGAGCTAGTTCTTTGGAACATTTGGATAAGAACAACCAGTAGTCAGTTGAATAAATGGTTGTCACTTTGAGGAAAAAGAAATACTCTAGAGATATATGAGTGTCCTTATACCAAAGAAGAGGACAGCGTTATAGCCTTTGAACATACCTTAGGAAAATAAAGATTTTATACCTGCCTCCACGTTTTCCTGAATTTTGGCACTGTTTCTGTGCTTCGTAGTATTATATAGGCATTCCCTAATCTAGGAACATCTTCTATGAATGGGTGAAAGTGAAAGGTGCCCTTTGTATAAGGTCAATAGACCCTTCTAGGATGGGGGCCATGTTTTATTAACTTTTATCTCCAGCTCAGTGCCTGGAACATAGCTTGAATGAAATGAAATGAAATGAAACGAATGAATGAATGAATGGTAAATAGGGATGCGAAGAACAAAGAGGGGAGTTCATATTCAGAGCAGCTGCCTCCTATGTAGTTTGAAGTGATAGGTGGGCTGCCTTTTTTTCCCAGGTAATAATGCTCCAAAAATGGTTAGCTTACATCCTTGTATACTTGTTGAATTAATAGTCAGGGGCTACTCCTTTTCCAACTGAGGGAATGAGAGAAGAAACTATGTGTTCCTGACGTCCGCTTTTGTGATTTTTAAAACTTACACAAATAATACATATTCATTGTAGACATTGTAGACACATTAGAATATTCAAATAAGCAAAAATAAACCATTTAAATTGTCTAAAATTCTACCACCCAGAGATAGCCACTGTTAACATTTTGGTGTATATCCTTCCAGAGTTTTTCCCATAAAAATATATACATTGAAACATGTATATATTTATTTAAAATGGGATCATTACAATCCATATTGTTTTGTAAACTGCTTTTTCACTTATTACATGTGACTGTCTTTCTATGTCAGTGAATTTACATCTTTATCATCATTTTAATGACTGCATAGTATTCCATTATAAGGATGTACCATAATATATTTAACTAGTTCTCTATTGTTAGGAATTTAGGTTTCCAATTTGAAGGTCTTTTGGAATAAAAGTTATGGTGAGCATTCTTGTATGTACATCTTTGTACACTTATCTACTTTTAAAAAAATAGAAGTAGAATCAATGAGACATTTCAAAATTTTATGTGTGCTATTTTGGTTTTTTTAAAATACAGACTCAGATTGCCTTCCTGAAAGGTTGTGCTGATTGACACTTTCTCCAGCAGTATGTCCAGAGTACTCTTTCCCCATACCCTCATTAACACTGAGTGGTTTTTTGTTTGTATGTGGTAATTTTTTTTTNCATTACCAATTTGAAAGGCAAAAGGTATCTTTGGGTTAAATGCATTTCTTTGATGAGTACTAAGGCTGAACTCTTTTTTCCCTTATTGCTCATTTCTGTTGAGGTTCATCGTTTTTTCTTACAGGTTTGTAAAACAAAGCTCTTTATGTATTGAGGATACCAACCCTTTGTTATATGTTGCCTTTTTTTGTAATCAGTTTGTCTTTTATCTTTTTTCATGTCTGGCAGATGTTTTAAACTTACAGATTAAAATGTCATTTTTTCTTTATGATTTCAACCCTCCTTACCCCATGAGTGTTGTTCACTTATATTCTAATACTTGTATAATTTTATTTTTGACATTTAAATGTTTAATCCATCTGGAATTTATTTTGATGTAGAGATTGGGCTTAATTTTCTCTGAAATAATTAATCAGTTCCCTTGATTAATTATGAATGAAGTTGGAATTTAGAATGTGTTTTGCCATACAGTGTTGTAAATGATGTTTGGTGAGGCTTAAATAAGACCATTTGTAATGCATTTAACTGTTAAACTCAAGGGCTCACGTGGAAAGGTAATAATCATTTATTATATTACTTCCATGGAAAAATGTTTTTATAGTTTCAAATAATTAACTTTTGAAGCACAACCTGTTGCAAATTTAGCAACTGCATACTCATATGGTGGTTCTACTTCATTAGAGCCCTTTAGGGGTGAAAAATCTTCCTCAGTTTTTTTTTTTTTTTTTTTTTTTTTTTTTGTCTGCCTTCATTTAACTTTAACTGATGTGAGGTCTGTTTTGGTAACTTTCTGCTTGCTGTGCTTTTCACAGAATGGACAGCAAATTATGGATGAACCTATGGGAGAGGAGGAGATTAATCCACAAACTGTAAGTAAAATATTTTATCACAAAGGGTATAGATAAATGAAATACTAAAAAAAGAAAAATGTATATAAATAATGGATAAGCACAGACAAAAAAAAAGATAAAAGATAAATGAAATACTGTAAAGTTATTCTTATTTTTCCCCTGAGCAGAGTAATCATTTTACAGTATTAGAAACTCATTGGTCCTTTCACATTAACTTTATCAACATACATTATTGAGTATTCCAGGGACCTCTCTAAAAACTATTTGATAAGAGTGATGTTAAGAGAAAGACAAAACAAATTGCTTTATGTTGTTGAAAGTTTTTCATTAGTGCCTAAAGCTTATGTTTTTTCGTCTCTTGGGGGTTTTTTTTTTGAGATGGAGTCTATCTTGTCGCCCAGGCTGGAGTGCAGTAGGGCAATCTTGGCTCACCACAACCTCAGCCTCCTGGGTTCAAGCAATTCTCCTGCCTCAGACTCCTGAGTAGCTGAGATTACAGGCGCCTGTCACCACACCCGGCTCATTTTTGAATTTTTGTATTTTTAGTAGAGATGGGGTTTCTCCATGTTGGCCAGGCTGGTCTCGAACTCCTGACCTCAGGTGATCTGCCCACCTTGGCCTCCCCAAATGCTGGGATTACAGACGTGAGTCACCGTGCCCAGCCTAAAGCTTATGTTTTTAAAGAACCAAACTGATCATAAATTTGTTAAAGACAAAATATAAAGGTCATACTTCACAGATATGTTTAACATAGAAAGTGGATGTTCACCATTTTCTCATCTGGTTTTTTGTTGTTGTTTACTCCTGAATCCCCAGTAACTAAACCAATATGCCTGGCACATAATGGACACTCATTAAATATTGCATAAATGAGTTAATAAATTGTTCCCTACCACCACATACAGAATAACTGTTGTCAGCAGCTCAGTTATAGTCTTGACATTTTTTACATAAGATAATTATTATTTATGATTACAAAATACACATTCTGCAACTCGCTCTTTTTACTTAACATGTCTTGAACATCTTTTTATGACAATACATATAGATCTACCTCTTCTTTGTTTTTGTATTTTTTTGTTTTGGGGGATTTTTTGAGACAAGGTGTCTCTCTGTCTGTCACCCAGGCTGGAGCGCAGTGGTGCAGTCATGACTCACTGTAACCTCAAACTCCTTGGCTCAAGCAACCCTCCCACCTCAGCCTTCCTAGTGGCTAGGACTACAGGCACATGCCATCATGCCCAGATAATTTTTTTTAATGTCTGTGTTTTTTGTACAAATGGAGTCTTGCTATGTTGCCCAGGCTGGTCTTGAACACCCGGCCTCAAGCAATTATCCTGCCTTGGCCTCCCAAAGCATTGGGATTACAGGTGTTAGCCACCACGCCCAGCCGGATCTATCTACCTCTTTTTGAAGTGGTTACACAGTATTCTATTTTATGAATATCCTATATTTAATGTAATTTTCTCCTATTTATTTTTGTGAATTTGTGTTTCAGTTAGATATAGTCTTAGAAAAGGATGTACTGAAACCAAGGGTATAAACATTTAAATCTCAATAGACATTTATCAAATTTTCCTTCAAAATTTCACTATATGAGAATACCTGTTTGAGTATTGCCTACTCAACACTAGATATTATTAGAAAATATTTTTAATTTGAGTGACTCTAGATAAATGATACTTTCCCTTTTTTTTTTTCTTACTTGAGACAGAGTCTTGCTCTGCCACCCAGGCTGGGGTGCAGTGGTATGATCTCAGCTCACTGCAACCTCTGACTCCTGGGTTCAAGCCATTCTTCTGCCTCAGCCTCCCGAGTAGCTGGACTTATAGGCACTGGCCACCATACCCGACTAATTTCTACATTTTCAGTAGAGACAGGGTTTCACCATGGTGGCCAAGCTGGCCTCAAACTCCTGACCTCAAGTGATCTACCCATCTCGGTCTCCCAAAGTGCTGGGATTACAGGTGTGAGCCACCATGCCTTGCCAACTTTCCCATTTTCATATGCATCTCATTTGATTACTAGTGAGGTTGAGTATCCATACATTATTGGCCTTTGTTATTTTATGTTTTGCTCAGTTTTCTTTGGGGTTACTTGTTGTCTCCTTATTGGTCTGTACAGTCTCTGTATATATTCTGGATATTAACTCCACGTCTATTATATATCTTATAATATGTTTTTTTAAGCATTGATTATGTGTCTTTCATTGTAGTATGTACAGAAGTTTTCATTTTTAAATAGTCACATCTGACTTCTGGGTTTCACGCTTTGGTTAGAAAATCCTTCCCTACACTAAGATTATAAAAATATCCTTTTACATTTTGACCTTTTATGGTTTTTTGGTGTTTTTCGTTTTGTTTTGCATTTAGATCTGTGATCCCCTTGGAATTTAGTACCTGGTATGAGGTAGAAACCTAACTTTTCTTTCCAAATAGATAGCCTATTGTCCTAACCTCTGTTTATTGAATAAATAAAATCTATTCTTTTCCCCACCCATTTGAGATACCTCTTTTATCATGTATAAAATTGCCTTATACCCCTTGTATCAGTTTCCTAATTTGCCATAACAAATTACCACAAACTGGGTGGTTTAAAACAACAGATGGCTCTCAGGGGGGTTCCTTCCTTGCATATTCCAGCTTCTAGTGTTTGCCAGCAATGCTTGACATTCCATGGCTTGTAGATACATCATTCCACCTCTGCCTGAGGCATCAGATGATCTCCCTGTTTGTGTCTGTGTCCAAATTTCCCTCTTCTCATAAGAGCACTAGTCATTGGATTGGGACCATCCCACTCCATTATGACTTTATCTTAATTACATCTGCAAAGACCCTGGTTTCAAATAAGGTCAAATTAATAGGTACCAGGGTTTAGAACTTGAACATACCTTTTTGGAGGGCACAATTCAACCTATAACCCCCCCCTGAATATTTTGACTTTACGTACTTTTTCAATTACTGTCATTTTATTATATGCTTTTTTTAATATGGTAAAGCAAGCCTTCCCACCTTTTTTACTTTTGTAAGAACTAGTCTTAAGTCTTATAAATGTAGTCCTATACATTTAATCTTCCAGATAAACTTTACAATCAGTTTGTCAAGTATGTCTGAAGAATTTATTGGGATTTTTATGAGAATTGCCTTAAATTTACAGATTAACATGAAAAATTATTTTAACAATATTGAGTCTTCACATTCATGAACATTCTTTTTTCTGGTTTTCTTTTACATCCTTTTCAAAATTTTATGGTTTCTTGGCTGGGTGTGGTGGCTTACACCTGTAATCCCAGCACTTTGGGAGGCTGAGGTAAGAGGTTCACTTGAACCCAGGAGTTTGAGACCATCCTGGGCAGCAGAGTGAGACCCAGTCTCTAGCACAAATTTAAAAATAAGCCAAGCATGATGGTGTGTGCCGGTGGTCCCAGCTACTTGGGAGACTGAGGCAGAGAATCACTTGAACCCAGAAGTTTGAGGCTGCAGTGAGCTATGAGCATGCCATTGCATTCCAGCCTGGGCAACAGAGTGAGACCCTGCCTAAAAAAAAAAAAAAGTTATGGTTTTTTTTACATATAGTCTTATACATTTGTGTTAAGATAAGTTGTGAGCATTTTATAGTTTTATAGTCTTTGTTATGTTGTAAGTGGGATTTTTTTCTGCTGTGTTTTCCATCTGGTTACTGCATATATATATTTTTTAAAAGTTATGTGTTTCTGTATGGTTTTTAGCATCTTAGGAGTGTTGACTTTTCAGAAATCAAACAAATTGTCATGAACATTATGTCAGTTGTGGAAGAATAAGATCAGTTTAACCTGCTTAAAACACCTCCATAGTTTTATGGTTCCTTTAAATAAAAGCCCAACCTCCATAACATGACCTACCAGGCCCTGCATAATAAGGATTTGCACACTTCTCTCCACATCCTCTCTAGCCACACACCTCTCCCCTCTACCGAAAGTCCAGTCACTCAAATGTATCACCTTTCTTTTGCCTCTGGGCTTTCATAGGGAATGTTCCTTCTCCCAGAATTCTTTTCCTTTACTGCCATCCCCACCACTTAATTCCTGATCATCTTTCAGATCTGTTTAGATATCATTTCAACTGAGACATCTTCCCAGTACAACTACCACTTCCACTTTCACTTTGAGTTAAGTGTTTTTCCTTTTTGCTGCCACAGGACCTATGCATACCCTAAATGGCAACACCATACTAGATTCCACTGCTTTTTTACTTGGTCTATATTCCCTACTAAACTGTGAGTTGAATGAGGCTGTGACCAAGTCTGACATATTCCTTGTTTTATGTCTGTGTCTAGCATCCAGTTGGTGTTCAATAAGTATTTGTAAATCAAATGAATAAATGGATTAGGTTTTAACTAGCTTAGGGACCCAGGCATGCATGGAGCCTAGTGCCCAGAGCTACCTCCGGATGCCTACCTTCTCCAAAATCATTTAAGGCAATTTGCTTAATTAGTTTATAGTATATATATTTACATGTAAGCAAATGTAAAAACAATCAGAAGGAAAACCTCCAAATTTTTTATTCTCTGTAGTCTAAAAGCATTTTCCATTGTGATGTTACATGGTTTGTACTTTCTCCTACTCATGGCTTTAGTAGCATTTACATCTGCAAGAGCCTGCATTCTAGAGATAGGTCAGAAAGATGCAGGACTAAGATATTACCAGCAATGTGGATGAAGCTGTTGAGCAGATCATTCCAGATTATACGAATTAGGCTTCGGTGTCAGATAAAAGCCTGGTATTTAATATTTATATAATGATATTAAATCCAAATGATTGTCAAAATGTTTATTAACCTTATAGTTTAAAATTGTATTTTTTTAATATATAATTAAAAGTTTTCCTTTTGCCAACTACTAATAATTTACATAGGGAACTTTGAGATGTTTCAACCAAGATATTTTCAGATACGGACCTACTTTAGGAAGTTGCTGAAAAATGGGCTCTGCCAACACTAGAGGGTTCTTAACTAAGAGAGACATGGGATTTGGCAAACAAA